CCGCCCGTGGAACTCCAATACGAAATGAAACTCCTATGAAAAAAGTCACATCTAAATTTTCGATCTCATCAAGATGGCACGCAACAGCTATATTCAGTTCAACCAACACAGGAAAAACTTACCTGCGGTAAAATATGAAAATTCTGATAAAATTTCGGGGAAAAAATTTCATTTCTTCCATACCAACAGTCCCCACATGAACTCACCGTTTTCAACATCAATGATTTCCCCATTACTCGATGTTTCCGAATTCTTCACAATTTCATCTACACCTCTGTCCATAAAAATAATAATAACAACCACAATCTCAAAATGCAATTCCCGACTTGCTTCGCTCCGCTAAATATTTTCCATTTCCGCATCCCACATCGATCACGATACTTCCAACTGGAAAATTCGTTACAAATTTCCACACTTTTGGCCAACGTTTGTATCTGAGCGGAGCGAAGCGTTGCATGTTTCGCATTTTTGCATCTACCGTGTATGTGAGAAATGATGGGCAATTTGATCGTAGACTTTGAACACTTGTTTATCGCTGTCCACTTCAGCAGAGTCAACTGGGATTGGTGTCTTATCACTAGGGGGAATTCGAACCTGACCGAGAAAAATGCCCCCGCCGGGAATCGAACTTGCGTAGATGTTTGTGATGAAGATATCGGCGGGGAAATATGAAAATGATTATAAACCCAAATTCATATATAAACTCTTCTGAGCTCAGCAGCTGATGATGAGGAAAGCGATTACATATATTCCCCCAAAGCTTCGCTCCGCTAGCCTTTCGCTTCTAATTGTGCATTTTCGGTCGCCTTCCTCGTAAATTAACTCCATCGCTCCACCGCTAAATTTTCATGTTCGTGATAAACAATTTCTCAGTAGATGTTGAATACTACAGTTCCACGGGCGGCGGCCCTAGCGATATGAAAAACACTAGTGAAAAATATATTTCACAGAGTTGCGTTCGTGAAACTCAATTATATAAATCTCACTTGCTCTTTCTGACGCTCCTTCCTACCAAGTTTCCTCTGTCTTCCTTCTCTCGATGCACGATCTGTCATTACACCAACTACCCTAAAACCACCCCAGATGAAAAAGAAAAAATATGTTGTGGTGGCGCCGCATACCCGTACCCTATATCGTGTAATCTACAATGGAGTTTCATCCGTTTTACGCGGAGTGAAATGTGTTTTTCACTAGTGTTTTTCACATCACTAGGGTGAAACTCCAATGATTCTCTGGTGTCACCCTGAGGTGTCCTTCGCCCAATATTGTTACTATTGCTTTTCATAACGGTTATTCCGACGAGATCGATTTCTCTACTGGCGAGTATAAACTTAACACCTGTTCGTAGTTCCTAAAATACCTTCGTGCGAGCGATAAAGTCACTGGTAAGAGTGTATGAAAGAATTCACCTTAGCCGATATTGGAGGTATTGGTCCTCCTGGTTAATGCCAATTGATGAGTCGGTACTCAGTCATCTTAACATTTTTATTTTTATCATCAGTTGCATAGCTGTGTGTTAATATTATGAATACATCAGTAAAGCCATCGAGAAAAGCCTTCCAACATGCAGATGGTCATCATCATCATCAACTACATGTGTCGGAGATGATGACAATATGGAAATTTTGGGAGAAAATTCTACGTCGTTTTCGTACACCTTAGTGGTTAAACTCCTTATTACATTTTATTACTAATATATGTTCATCTTCATATAAAAAATACTAAAAACCTATAGATCAACATTTGGGTATTAATTTTCACCCTATTTATCGCAGTTTCACGACAACCCGTTTTACGTGAAGTGGCGTCGTAATACTCTGTGAAAAACGCGATATTCGCGTTATTTTTTACTAGTGTTTTTCATATCACTAGGGTGAAACTGCAATTCGATAACGTTGAGGTAACATTTTAAATTTCTATAAAAACTGCGGAAACTCTCAAACCCCCCTGAGGAAAGCGAACACATATATTCCGACACCCCCGATGAACTCAATTCTCAGACCCTGCTGCAACACCAAGTCATAATAAATCACAACTTCATGTAAAAACACCTCCACCGGGGATCGAACCGCGGTCGTCTTGCTCTAAATCGCGGACATTACCCCGTCGAGTAAATACGACCACATGATCTTATCTCGCTCGGTTAGCCCGACGGCGTTCTCCTCCATAGATTCGGGGTAGCTGAATAACGATTTCAATGGAGAGAAAAAATATACACATATGTTGGTGATGATAATATTAAAACTCTGAGAGGAAATTTTTATTGGTTTCTGTATTACACTTCTACCCAAATTCATATATAAACTCTTCTGAGCTCAGCAGCTGATGATGAGGAAAGCGATTACATATATTCCTACTACTCCAACACTGATGGGAAGTAGTAGTAACAGTTTGTGATAATATTAAAATTCTGAGAGGAAATTCTTATTGGTTTCTGTATTACACTTCTACCCAAATTCATATATAAACTCTTCTGAGCTCAGCAGCTGATGAGGAAAGCGATTACATATATTCCTACTACTCCAACACTGATGGGAAGTAGTAGTAACAGTTTGTGATAATATTAAAATTCTGAGAGGAAATTCTTATTGGTTTCTGTATTACACTTCTACCCAAATTCATATATATACTCTTCTGAGCTCAGCAGCTGATGAGGAAAGCGATTACATATATTCCAACACTGCTTACTCATCAAACACTCCAGAATAATATCGCCTTCCCGACACATGCGGCGGCCTAAAAACTCAATGTCAATAGCGCTCGCCCAGCTGATCGATTTCAACACTCACAAGAAGAACGGTATTGGTGGTGAATAACGCCTACGGAACTTAGGTACCTGCATAATGAAAAAATAATACCCCTCACCGTGGGAGTCGAACCAGAGACCTCTCGAATGAAAGCCTTGAATTCATTCACTTCCGGGGGGAAATATATTCACATAGCCGTGTGTTTGTGACGAGAGTATAAGAAATGAAAAAAATACAAAAAATAAAGAAAATACAAAAATAAAGAAAATAAAGAAAATAAGAAAATACACAACATAATACACGAGAGCATATTCTGAATTTTTTTTTCAAATAAAACAACAGAATTGAAAACCCTGATGAATTTACTTTCCCCATCTTTGCTGGTCTCCTGAAAATCTACCCAAATTCGTGTGTGAAATTTCATAATATAATCAGGAAATTTACGAGCTCACTCGAGGAAACCAAAAATATATTCCCATACTGTTGTGAATTGGTATAAACATACATTATAAACAAAAACGTTCGTTCGGAAATTGGGAAAAAATTCCGAACTCGGGAGTTTTCAAGCAAAATAACGAGAATTCACATACCAAAAATTTGCACAATTTTCTCATTGTAAACAACCATGAAATCATCCAGGAACCTATAATGTTCCCGGGGAGAAATAATTTTGAATTTTCCGAATATTTTTCCCACGTAAATTTCATCACTAAAAACATTTTCACAGTAGAGCACTATAAAATATACATACTAAAAATCACTGAGAAAATTGCATATACCGCAACAACAGACACTTCCGCGTTGTGCATGCGTGCAGAATTATTCTGGCTTAACTACGAAGGAGGTCACCAGATCGACTCCTCTATATGCGGAGGTTTCCGTAAAACTTTAATTACGGAAAAATGTCCTACCCGGGGATCGAACCGGGGACCTATGTAAAATCCATTCATCACCCACAATTTTCTCAGTTCATCATCATCGACAAATTCCCAACGATTTAACCCAGCTTACATATGGCACTGGTATTTGTTTGTTAAGGAGGAGATTCCACTCAAGGCCTTTGAAAAATTTATGGTCTTTAACCTAAGGACAACAATACACCAAAAATTCCGTCACGCGCCACAAAATTATCTACCTTAGCGATAAGTCCTGCAATGCGTTTCTTCGGATTATATACGAGCAGCCTTTTAATCAAACTCTTCGTCGCTCTATCAATCCCTCGTCCACTCCTTCCCCACCTACACACACAAGTAAATATCATAATCGATCACTCGGGCGCGCGCTTTTAACATACCGGATGTTCACAGCCAGAATAGCCTGCTGGATGTTGAACTCATCATGGTGGTCTCTACTCCAATCTGCAATTAACATAAAAAATATTCTGAGTTCACTCACGGTTAAGAGGAAATTCCGAGAAAATTTTGGGAAATTGTTATTGGTTTCTGTATTACACTTCTACCCAAATTCATATATAAACTCTTCTGAGCTCAGCAGCTGATGAGGAAAGCGATTACATATATTCCTACTACTCCAACACTGATGGGAAGTAGTAGTAACAGTTTGTGATAATATTAAAATTCTGAGAGGAAATTCTTATTGGTTTCTGTATTACACTTCTACCCAAATTCATATATAAACTCTTCTGAGCTCAGCAGCTGATGAGGAAAGCGATTACATATATTCCTACTACTCCAACACTGATGGGAAGTAGTAGTAACAGTTTGTGATAATATTAAAATTCTGAGAGGAAATTCTTATTGGTTTCTGTATTACACTTCTACCCGAATTCATATATAAACTCTTCTGAGCTCAGCAGCTGATGAGGAAAGCGAATTACATATATTCCTACTACTTCAACACTGATGGGAAGTAGTAGTAACAGTTTGTGATAATATTAAAATTCTGAGAGGAAATTCTTATTGGTTTCTGTATTACACTTCTACCCAAATTCATATATAAACTCTTCTGAGCTCAGCAGCTGATGATGAGGAAAGCGATTACATATATTCCTACTACTCCAACACTGCTTACCCCAGGGAAATCTCAACGTGAACAGTTCGAAAATCATCACTCCAAGAGACCACCAATCCGGTTCGATACTGACAAAAACAATCATACCAAAACTTCCCCAACTTTCACTCCTCACCTATAAGATCTATTCAAGAGCATTTCCGGTGGTTGGTATATCAACGTGCCGCAGTTTGTGCGCGTCCCTGCCGAAAACTCAATTCGCAATGGAGTTTCACAAAGTGGTATAAAAATATTTTTTACGACCGCTAACACAATTGTTTCTTCATCAAGTGGAATGGAAAATATGTTTTTCATATCACTAGGGTCAAGAAACTCCACTGTATATCAAATGAAATGGAGTTTCACGACTACCCGTTTTACGTGAAGTGGTGAAAAACGCGATATTCGCGGTGATATGCAGTAGTCGCGAAATATGTTTTCACTAGTGTTTTTCATATCACTAGGGTGAAGAAGCTTTAACTATAACTATATAATTTATATTTTTTGAAGGATTTTTTACACTCTATTCACATTATATTATTTGTGTATTTATTTTCCAAAATTTTCACGCGAAAATCTAAAAAATACCAATTTCAGAAACACACGATTTCACTTTCAAAAATTTCTTGATATTTTTTCAGAAATATCGATCTACCATTTTTACCATTTTTATTTAATTCTAGAAAAATTTTACTTTCCCTAAGATTATCCAATACTTTAGACTAGAGTGGAAAACACGTACCCTTTTTCCGTAAAAAACACAAAAATATCGCGAAACTCACCAGGAAAAAAACGCATTTTTCGCTTTTTTTCCGAAATATCAAATTACTATTTTTACCACTTTTCCGCTCATTCAATTTTTAGCAACAGAAAATTTCATTTCTTTTTTTTCTGATTTCATCAGTGCGAGTTCAATTCTACCTTATAATTTTTACCGTAAATTTTTTTCCCAACAAAAAAAATAATTTTCCCCTCAACTCTCCTTACGGAATTTCCTCTTCGGATCAAGTCGTTTCGCCATACCAAAATCAACCATTTTGATATGCCCCTGAAAAATGCAGTAAAAATACCCTCACCGGGGATCGAACCTGTTCTTCACCACCCACCTCCTGATCCAACATGCAATTCTCTGGTTTGAGGTCTCTATAAACTATATGGTACTTATTCAGATGCTCCAACGTCAATACGAGTTCGCCTATCCAGAACTGGGCGATGTGTTTTGGTACTCCTCCTAAATGATGAAAAGGTGTTGGAGTAGTAGGAATATATGTAATTGCTTTCCTCATCATCAGCTGCTGAGCTCAGAAGAGTTTATATATGAATTCGGGTGGAAGTGTAATACAGAAACCAATAAGAATTTCCTCTCAGAATTTCCATGTTGTCATCACCAACATATGTGGTTGACCATATGAACATTTTCGCCGTAGATTTTCTAACAAAATTCAATAACGAATTAATAAAATCAATAAAAATAAATAAAATGAAGTTTCACCCGTTTCACGTGAAGTGGCAAAAAAGTAAAAAACGCGATATACGCAGTGATATGGAGTAGTCGTGAAATATGTTTTTCACTAGTGTTTTCACAACCGCCCGTGAAACTCCAATAAATAACAATTAATTTCATAGTTTCCAATTCGACCTGAGCTGAGATCCCCGGTTCAATTCCACCCACCAGTTTTTTTATCCCTTTCCAGAAGGCTATCTCTCGAATGAATAACTTTATACAATTCACCACCTAATAAAACACAAACATATCTTAGCTCCATCACAGAAAGATACAAATCATGTCCGAAATGAGCTCAAACATCCGGGTAAAAAAGTCCCAAAATCGGAATATCTTACCCACTTCAGATGAAAATTTCCACATGGCCAACAACATGTGTTGGTGACAATGAACAAATTCTCGCTGGTTTTTGTTCACTTCTACTCTGAGTGTAATTTTGGAAACTTTTGTAATTAATGACTAAAAAAGCGGCATATTTTACTCTCCGAATTTTCACTTCAGTGTTGGATGATATGAAAAATATCGTTGATTTTTTCTACACTTCTACCCTGAAATTTCCTGAGGAATCTCCTGAGCTCAGCTGAGGAATTTATGAAATAGTGGTATATTTTACTATTTGGATTTCCATTACGGCGTTGGTGCCAATATGAAAATTCGTACACCCCTATCCCAAAACATGCGTGTGAATTTAGTGACAATAATTGACGTAATTTAGTGACAATAATTGGCCTGATTTAGTGACACTAATTGGCCTAATTTAGTGACAATACGCCCCATCTACCCCCTAACTAACCTGTACAGAATTCCATAAGGACGAAGACTCTCCGAGGGTCCTGAAAGACCTTCAAAACTCCAACTATAAAAGGGAATTCCAATTGGCCCAAAATCTCCGCTTCATGTCTTATCGCTTCCGCCTGCACAAAAACGATCAATTCCAAACGTTTTTACCCGTGTTAAAACGTTACAGCACTCTCCACCGATCCATTCTTAGTAGCGACTTTCACCTTATTCAAAATCTTCAGTGCGCATGGGACCTAATT